GAGGGAGTAAGATTAAATGTTCAAAAAATTGTGCAACGAAGACGTCGGTGCCATGACTCATCAAACAACATGGGGCTGGAGGGGTAAAGCGCAATTAGCGGTATCACTTCTATGCGATTTGGGGTGGGGGTGGGGAAGGGGGATTTGCAAATGGAAAGTGAATGTTAGAGACATTTTGCCACTTGGAATAACTACTCAAAACTAATTATGTAAAGAAATTTGGCAGTTCAAGAGAGAAATATTATTTTTTTTTCGTTTTATTTTTACATACTCAAAGGCAGTTATTTTGCCGAGTTCACAACAATCAAAAATTGTTTTTTTGTGAAAAATTTCTCCATAAAATTTTAAACTCCCTGAAATGGTATTCTTCATCTTGTCTTTTAAAGCTTGTAAATGACTTTACCAACCGAGTTCTATTGTTCAATAAAGAATAATGATTTAATGATAGAAGGTAGGCATCTCATTTTTCTCCTAAATCATTTCTTTATTTTGCTTAACTTTATCACCGTAAGGCAAATAATTGGCAGTTTCCTTTAAAGCATTACAAAGTAGAAACAAGACAGTACCGCTTGAAGACGAAGTGTTATCTTAGTTGAAGACAAGTCGCTTTTATTTTCAATTTCATAAGAGATTTGGCCACCATGCTGAAACACGACTAATTCACTTTGCTCGTGATCAACGCTTGTGTGAAAATTGGAATTGTGCATGGACAGGTTTCTCACAGGAAGGTATTTTTCAGTGCATTCTACTGTGGAATGCCATATCTCTAGGCACAAAATCAATTACATACGTAATGATGTAACTGTCTGCTGATTTAAAATTTAAAGGCTTAAATCTCAAAATCTACTTCAAGTAAAGTGCTATATAAAACGCCTTTCACCTAACTTCTGAATAGGATAATAATTCAAAATTTAGCCAAGTATCCGATAGTTTTAAGTGGTTTGAATCATGAAAAGTATTCTTTGTGAGTGAAAATTTGATTTTCGATTAATTATTGCCACCCCACCGCTCCCCACCCCTCCCCCAACACTGATTTTTTCATTTGAATGAATACTTACAGTGTAAAATGATGAGCAGAGCAAATCATTTTTGGAACTCTCTGAAACCAGGTTTTATATCAGCGACGTGCACATCTTTACCCAATAATAAATTTCGTCCATTCTCTTCAAATTTATCTCTAAATAAAGTCCAAAATCAGGCATAATTGAAATTGACGTGAAATCCTAATTTAAATTTTAAGGTGACGCGCTTTGACAATTCACTTCGTGAATTGTAATATTTGACAATAAATTGACTGTAATTCGTTGTAAATTCTTTCCAAATCTTCAGGAAATATTCCTTTTATTATTGCTAAGTTCTAGGTAATCGCACAATAAAAGTCCATCCAAAACATATATGAAATAAGTCAAACCTTTCATTTAGTTTAATCGTATGCGTATGTGGATAGAGTTAATTTAGACATGACCATAATGTTATAAGTCGCAAGACTAATTTGCGATATTTGAAAAAGACCTTTTAGGAAAACATTACGATATATTTCTTTTCGACTTCCAGACAGTCTTCGTATCTGTTTTCGAAATGATAGAAGAGAATTATTAAAAACCTCCCGTTAAATCCCATTTTAATAATAGGATTTGAGATGAATTCTTTAATACATTGATTTCCCTGGCGATAGGCTGATATTTCTGTCCCAAAATTTGTTATTGCTTAAAGCAAATCAAGCTTTATACTGGAGCATGCTTGAATATCTTTCTTTTTTAAAATTTACATAAATTTTAAATAAAATTCTTGTGTTTTTAACTTATGCTTGAAAGACGTGTGCTTTTACAATTAATGTAATCTTCGCTGAAGGGAGCCTAATACAGCATTTCTACTTATCATATTTCAGTAGTGTTTTCTTTTTTTCTAGGTACAAAGGAGACTGCATTCGTGACAGCGGCTTGGGCCGCTGGGGCAGTTCAGGCGGTTACACGAGCCTGTAGTCGAGGGCGAATTAGTACTTGTGATTGTGATGCCACTCGAAGAGGTGGTTTAAAGGCTGCGGACACTGAGGGCCCTTTTACTTGGGGTGGTTGCAGCGATCCCATTCGTTTCGGAATGCGGCTGGTACGTCTCTTCCAGGAGCCGCGTCTGCCTGCGCCAAAGGATAAAAGCAGGAGAAAGAAACGACGAAGCAAATACAATGTAAATGGTGCTGAAAACGATACTATCATAGATGTTGATGATAGCCGAATCTTGGTGGATATTCACAATCAAAGAGTTGGTAGAAGAGTGAGTTCCAGTTCTGTGGCAGCAACCCCTGCTCTAAATCTAATTTTAATTTTCTTGTCGAAAAGATATGCGCCCTGGGTGCTATTCATATAATTCCACTTGAATTTTCAAATCTCTACGGCTAACAGGATACTTATTACTACTCGTTTTAAACTTGCCATAAAGCCATCTCTATGAAACAATTGCTTTGGCGACTAAGTTACCTCTTTGAGACGATGTATTGGGTACTGCGTATCTCACTTTTCTGATGCATATCTTCCGGTTTAAGAAACATGTTGACCAGTTAAATAAAAAAATGTTATAACTGGCACACAAATCATTACATTTACTTTACGGCTGTGATTGCATTTTCATTCAAAACCATTCCTTTTAAGTCTTTGGCTTTGAAACTTACTTCCCAAGTGTGTAAAAATAAATTTCATATTGATTGAAATATTTGTTCCAATGTAGCACAAATCGTAAATTTAGATCTCGTATCCAACCCGATGAGTGCTATAGTGCTATATAACGGTAAGCACAACAATTATTTTTACATTCGGTTACTGGCGGTATGCAATAGACTTACCCCCACGTGGGACACACTGGGCAACGTATACTCATATACCAAAATAGTCTATACGCTGACAGTTGGCTTCTGACTTCAAACAACCATAACCCCACTGTGTGTCATATTCCACCACTTTCACAGTATTCACCTTACCTTTTCTCTACCTTTGTGTCAGTCTATCCCTTTTGCATCATTTAATCACTTTCTGTTTCCCCTCTCGAATTTTCCTCACTTTGATGTTCCTCCTCTCCTCTGTGCAGCCCGAAGTAAGCCAAAGAGCTAATGATAGCTGTCATAAAGGCTGCCATTTAAAATAAATAAATATTCGGTTACTGAAGTGCAACAAGTAGCCCAAATCAAAATCAAGAACCCACATAAACACTTGGGTTAAAATGGCATGAAATATCAGGTTTGAAATACATCGTTAAGTTCCAAACGTAAGGCGAAATCTATTTACTTATTGTTTACCATTCGTTTTAATATTCTTTGACCTTACGCCTTATTCGATTTCGTTTAACATATCTTGTACTGATTTGAAGCAAGTAGGATGTAATTTTAAAAGAATCGAAATTCTGTATAAACCGAAGGGTTGACTCAAAGAGCCTTATTCACCAAATGGCGAGAAATTAATGAAATTCGGTAAAATTTTTGTCTTCGTCTGCAACTTAGTAATGTTATTCACTTATTTTAAATCTCGTAGACTTAAATTTCTTAATGAAATGCCACTTTTTTTAAAATTTTCAGCTAATCTAATTAAATAAACGGGACAAAGTTACCGCTTTTAGGAAGCAGAATAGAGGATTCACTGGCTTAATCCTTATGAGGATAATATTGACAAATAAAAGGCTTCACAGAGGGGAAGGAACACCGAAGGGAAAAATTCGAGAGTGGGAGGGGAACAGAAGAGTGTTTCAAAGGTGTAAAAGAGACAGATACAAAGGTAGAACAAAGGTGAGGTAAGTACTGTGGAAGTAATCGAATATGACCTACAATTGGGTGATGGTAGTTTGAAGTCAGAAGTCAACTGCCGAATAATAGACTTTTTTGCCGTATGAGTATACATTGCCCAGGGTGCACCACGTGGAGGTAGCCGAATGAGAATACGTTGCCCAGGGTGCACCACGTGGAGGTAAGGTGTAGTATACATTGCCCAGGGTGCGCCACGTGGAGGTAAGACCGTATGATTATACGTTGGCCAGGGTGCACCACGTGGAGGCCGTATGTACCTTTTGCCATATGTGGATACGTTGCCCAGGGTGCACCACGTAGTAGTAAGATGAGTACTGTGAAGGGGTCGAATATGACAAATAGTCGGGCCATAGTAGTTTGAATTCGAGAAGTCAACTGGCGATCAATAGACTTTTTTGCCGTATAATCTGTGGATGGGGCCGAATATGACAAATAGTCGTGCCATAGTAGTTTGAAGTCACCGATCATTAGACTTATTTTGCCGTATGAGTATGCGTTGCCCAGGGTGCACCACGTTTTTGCCGTATGAATATACGTTGCCCAGGGTGCACCACGTGGGCAGTTTGAAGTACCAGTCAATAGACTTTTTTCCGCATAAGTATACGTTGCCCAGGGTGCACCACATGGAGGTTGTAAGTACACGTTGCCCAGGGTGCACCACGTGGAGGTATGCCGTTTGAGTATACGTTGCCCATTGGTTTATAGACTTGTTTGCCGTATGAGTATACGTTGCCCGTCAATGGGGTGATGGTAGTTTGAAGTGAGAAGTCAACTGCCACAATGGGGTCATGGTAGTTTGAAGTTAGAAGTCAACTGCCTTTAATAGACTTTTTTGCCGTATGAGTATACGTTGCCCAGCGGTTTATAGACTTTTTGCCGTATGAGGTCTGTTGCCCAAATATGACATACAGTGGGGTCATGGTAGTTTGAAGTCAGAGGTCAACTGCCGGTTTATAGACTTTTTGCCGTGTTAGGGTTAGATCAACTGCCGGTTTATAGACTTTTTTGCCGTATGCGCATACACAATGACATACAGTGGGGTGATGGTAGTTTGAAGTGAGAAGTTGTGACATATAGTGGGGTGAGGGTAGTTTGAAGTCAGAAGTCCACTGCCGGTTTATAGACTTTTTGCCGTATGAGTATACTTTGTAACATACAGTGGGGTCATGGTAGTTTGAAGTCAGAAGTCAAGATGTCAACTGCCGATTAATAGACTTTTTTGCCGTATGAGAAGTGATAAGTCAACTGCCGGTTAATAGACTTTTTTGCCGTATGAGTCACTCTATGTTATATTCGACCCCTATAACAGTACTCATCTTACCCTTTCTGAGCTTTNTTAGCAGATACAGAAAGCATTCATAAAGTTTGCTCACATTCTTTAAGCAAGCTTAAGTAGTGATCAGACGAAAACCTTCAAATTGCAGGAATTGAATCCTACAATTCTTTCATACAAATTGGTGTGATATAGCTATGCAATTACCTCCTCGAACCCTGCGATGAATACTAGTTGTAAGAATTGAACTCACTTATTCATCTGACAATTGGGTGCAGACATCCGATCACTTTTCAGAATTTAATCCCGATTTACTTCATTAGAAAATTGAGAATATATGTCAAAATAGGCCAAAATTGATAGCAGTACGATCTTGTATATTTAGGGCTGAAAGTACTTCATTAATCTCATAATAATTCCCCCCCCCAAAATCTCATGTTCACTCATTCACACTCA